TTTCTCTGAGAAAACCACACTTTAGGCCTAGCTACCACAAATGTAGTAGAATTAAAATATTGCTGGTATCTGTCATATACAATAACACTTTTGACATTAATTTTATGTGAGCTCTACATTTCTATTGACAAGAAGGAATGGTGTTGATTATCTCTGTTTATACCCCAAAATAAAATGTTTCCCCACAAATCTAGAAAAATCCTTCCTTTAATAACTTCCCCTTCAATATCCATATCATTATCAATACAACTCCAGGGGCATTTATTCGATAAATAGGCGTACGAGTGGAATTAACAATTAAAAGCAATGTTGATTAAATTTTAAACAAATTTATAATGAAATCATTTTTTTTTTCTCAAACTGGCTAGGAGCAAGTCAAGAAAATGACATGGTAAGAACAAAGAGTGATATTTTCAACAACCATACAGATATCAGTTAAAAATAAAGTTATTTGGAAAATGTTATCCTACACAACAAGAGCATCCATTGAATACCTATACCTGAATGCCTGAATCTAGTTTTCAAGAAAACAAGAAACAATCTAGGGGGTTACCCCGATGTTATGGTTCATTTCAGCCCCTGTCGTTGTGGAATGATGTGAACATCATGTACCGGTAGCTACTACCATGAAGCGTCTCTTTTTCGGCTGCAGGTAGTCACGGACCACGCCCATACGCAATTCAGCACAATGATGCTGCAAGTTATGGGTTATTCTCCTACCTTTAAACAATAATAAAACAAAAGAAAATTGTCATCAAGAAACAGAGCTTAACTTGACTTAATATCCGTCATCAATCCCGGGTGTTTATTCGATAAAATGTACGATTTTAGCTCTTGTCACATTGACCTAAGGCGAGACTTATTTAGGAATATACCCTGTTTAGCGAGCTTATTATTTTTAAGCTTATCAGCATAATGGTTTTGCCACTTAAAAGCATCCGGGCGGAGGAGAAAATAAAATGTTACAGGTGAGTCTAAAAAAGAGAAAAAAGAAAGAAAAATATAAAAATTACACCAAGGGAAAAAAAAAACCATTAGATTTTTTTTTTTAGAATTATGAACATTTGAACAACATTTAAGTAATAATTAAAATTTCAAATCCAATGTCAAGAAAATTATCCACTTTACAGTACGGTTTATATAATTTAGGAAGAAATATAAGGCAGCGCCGGTCGCCGTAATACCAATGATAATAAAACAAACTTGAAACTTACATTTTTTGTGGCGGCGAATCTTATCAAAATCATTATTTCGCATGTAAACTGATTGATCTGCTTCTTTTTTTGTTGGTTTTTCTTGTAGTATTTTAGGATAATTTATGGTTATTTTTTTTTAGTTAATGTAAAGCGCATGGAGGCAACTTTATTGTATTGTGCGCTATTATGAGGCTTAGGCCAAATTTATTATTATTATTATTATTATTATTATTATTATTATTATTATTATTATTATTATTTGGCAACACCGACCATGCATGCCAAACACTTGCGTTTCTATAAAGGAATATCACGCTGCCCACTCCCACAAAAACATGGTAATGAACTAAAGAAATTAAGTACACAGGCTAAATCTTTCAGATTTCTTGAAGTAATATTTACAACAGCAGTTACGTCAATCATGGCACGAACGGACTATCAGGTATAACTTGCTTGAATGACGTCACCAATTGTGTGAACTTGCGTGAAAAAGATGGGCGACAGTGCAAGCTTTGTTTTAAATTGTATGATCAGGGCCGGCGGAACGTTTTTCAAAGTGGGGGGGCCCACTTATAAGATGAATGGGAATATGAATCATGCAGATCTGGAAAAACCTAGGGGTTTCGGAGGAAAGGAAGAAAGGAAAGGGGAAAATTTTTTATTTTTAGATGGCGGGAAATGACCTTTCTCGACTTTTAAGCTTGGTTTCTAATGACTTTGTTCTTCAAAATTCAAGGTTTCCAAAGAATAGGGGGAAGGGGGGTCCGAAAATTTTGATATCTAGAAGGCGGGAAATGAGTTTTCCCGACTTCCGAGGTGTCTTTTAATTACTTTTAAGTTCTTCAAAATTCAAGGTTTTCCCCTCTTGAAAACGGTCAGGTAAATTTATCGCATTGATATTACAGTAGATAAGCCTTATGTATGTATACATACATTTAAAAAAAATGAGTAGTTGCATACGATTTTTTCCATGAATCCACAAATCCCAAAAAGAAAGGGGGGGTCCGGGGGTTCTCCCCCGGGAAAATTGTGATTCTTAGAAGGCGGGAAATGAGTTTTCCCGACTTCTGAGGGGTCTTTTAATTACTTTTAAGTTCTTTAAAATTCAAGGTTTCCCCCTCTTGAAAACGGTCAGGTAAATTTATCCCATTTTTATTAAGATAGGCCTTATGTGTGTATACATACATAAAAAAAAATTGAGTAGTTGCATACGATTTTTCCATGAATCCATAAATCCCAAAAAGAAAGGGGTGTCCGGGGGTTCTCCCCCGGAAAAATTTTGATTCTTTGAAGGCAGGAAATGAGTTTTCCCGACTTCTGAGGTGTCCTAATTACTTTTAAGTTCTTTAAAATTAAAGGTTTTCCCCTCTTAAAAACGGTCAGGTAAATTTATCCTATTGTTATTACAGTACATAGGCCTTATGTGTGTATACATACATAAAAAAAATTGAGTAGTTGCATACGATTTTTTTTCCATGAATCCATAAATCCCAAAAAGGGAAGGGGGCCCGGGGGTTCTCCACAGGGACAATTTTGATTCCTAGAAGGCGGGAAATGAGCTTTCTCGACTTCTGAGGTGTCTTTTAACTACTTTAAGTTCTTCAAAAGTCAAGATTTTCCCCTCTTGAAAATTATTATAATGAATCAGTGAACCCAAAGAGAAAAGGGAGGTTCGGGTTCTTCCCGGGAAAATGTTAATTTCTAAATGGTGGGAAATGAGATTTCCCGACTTCTGAAGTACCGTATCTTATAGCGATTTTAATTTAAGTTCTTCAAAACGGTCAGGTAATTTTTTCCCAATCCCAAAAAGAAAGGGGGTCGGGGTTCTCCCCCGGGAAAATTTTTATTCCTAGAAGCGGGAAATGAGCTTTCCCGACTTATGAGGTGTCTTTTAATTACTTTTAATTTCTCCAAAAATCAAGGTTCCCCCCCCCCTCTTGAAAATGATTCAATAGAACCAATGAACCCCAAAGAAAAAATGGGTCCGAGTTCCCCCGGGAAAATTTTGATTTCTAGAATTCGGGAAATGACCTTCACTGACTTCTGAAATGTCTTTTAAATGACTTTTTAAGTTCTTCAAAA